CTGCCACTGAAGGGGACAGGGCTGCTGTTGGTGGCAGTGGTATCAGTCAGTGGCTCCCAGGCTCTGGAGAGCACACACTTAGGATCCCTTTGACCTAGAACAGTTTCCCTGGTGGGCTATTAGGTGACCACCTATTACCACAGGTATAGGGGGCTGTGGGGCTAGGGATTTGGGGGAATCTGTCCTGGCTTTGAGATGATCCTGGCTGGACTGGCTACCTCAGTTCCCTTTCCTTCTGTCATCAGAGGATCCCTATCAATTTCCTGCTGAATTCCAGTATGCTGTCTTTGATGCTTTCCTCAAGGTGTGGTTACCTACTTGCTGGTTTGGTTTTTCTTTTTCAAAGAGATGAGTGCTGGATATTCCCAGTCAGCCATCTCGATGATATCTTTGTCTATGCTGTGCATATTAAGGAATGTATAGACATGTTTTTAAACCTGCACAATTAGCCCTATAACTACAATTCCAAAAATTTCTACCACTTGAAAAACACACTCATTTGTAATTATTACCTCCCACCCTATGCACAGGTTTCATTTTGTATGGCAGGCTCAGGCTTAAAGTGCAAGATCCTAACTCCCCACCACACATATACACGTTTCATTTAATATGGCAGCAAGCTCAGGCTTGAAGTGCAAGATCCTACCATCTTTATCACGTCCAGTAGGGATTCACCCTGGGTTGTGGTTTCTGTGGTATAACCCCTTGAGTGCATATCTTGTCAACACAAAGACTTAACTAAAGGGACAAGTTATCTACAACTCACCCACCCAGCATTCTCCTAAACTGCTAGAGACCCTCCTATTGAACAGAGAGAAAATGGGAGTCACAAACGAAATACTAGACCATAGCAGTTCTGAAATACAGCCTGATGTGTACTTCCACTTCTTTGATTTGGACTTCGTGGGAACCATCCTCTGTGTTTGTTTGTGCTGCCTTCTTGGTTCTTTGTTGTATCCTTTTAGTATCCTTTTCATAAGCAATGACCTGTGTTTTCAGCTAAGTAGTTTCCTCAGCCAGCTTTCTCCCTATAGAACTTCTTAGGTCCTAAGGCCTCTTCATTTTTACTGTCTTGGTGTCTTTTAATCCAAGCTAGCAAGCAGTGTTATTGTTACTACGATTCTCTTAAATACTTAGAGTCTCTTGTGAATTTTACTTGGGTTCTTGTCATGGAAAAACCTCTTGTCCAGATCTCTTTGAGATAAGCACTTCACCTTGTGCTTCCTGTGAAGCTGTAGTAGGACAGTGCCTTAAGATGCATATACCCCCCATCAAGCTACCAATGAATTTCTTCACAGAATTGGAAAAAACTGCTTTAAAGTTCATATGGAACCAAAAAAGAGCCCGCATCTCAAAGACAATCCTAAGTCAAAAGAACAAAGCTGGAGGCATCACGCTACCTGACTTCAAACTATACTACAAGGCTACAGTAACCAAAACAGCATGGTACTGGTACCAAAACAGAGATATAGACCAATGGAACAGAACAGAGTCCTCAGAAATAATACCACACATCTACAGCCATCTGATCTTTGACAAACCTGAGAGAAACAAGAAATGGAGAAAGGATTCCCTATTTAATAAATGGTGCTGGGAAAACTGGCTAACCATAAGTAGAAAGCTGAAACTGGATCCTTTCCTTACTCCTTATACGAAAATTAATTCAAGATGGATTAGAGACTTAAATGTTAGACCTAAAACCATAAAAATCCTAGAGGAAAACCTAGGTAGTACCATTCAGGACATAGGCATGGGCAAAGACTTCATGTCTAAACCACCAAAAGCAACGGCAGCAAAAGCCAAAATTGACAAATGGGATCTCATTAAACTAAAGAGCTTCTGCACAGCAAAAGAAACTACCATCAGAGTGAACAGGCAACCTACAGAATGGGAGAAAATTTTTGCAGTCTACTCATCTGACAAAGGGCTAATATCCAGAACCTACAAAGAACTCAAACAAATTTACAAGAAAAAAACAAACAACCCCATCAAAAAGTGGGCAAAGGATATGAACAGACATTTCTCAAAAGAAGACATGCATACAGCCAACAGACACATGAAAAAATGCTCATCATCACTGGCCATCAGAGAAATGCAAATCAAAACCACAATGAGATACCATCTCACACCAGTTAGAATGGCGATCATTAAAAAGTCAGGAAACAACAGGTGCTGGAGAGGATGTGGAGAAATAGGAACACTTTTACACTGTTGGTGGGATTGTAAACTAGTTCAACCGTTATGGAAAACAGTATGGCGATTCCTCAAGGATCTAGAACTAGATGTACCATATGACCCAGCCATCCCATTACTGGGTATATACCCAAAGGATTATAAATTATGCTGCTATAAAGACACATGCACACGTATGTTTATTGCGGCACTATTCACAATAGCAAAGACTTGGAATCAACCCAAATGTCCATCAGTGACAGATTGGATTAAGAAAATGTGGCACATATACACCATGGAATACTATGCAGCCATAAAAAAGGATGAGTTTGTGTCCTTTGTAGGGACATGGATGCAGCTGGAAACCATCATTCTTAGCAAACTATCACAAGAACAGAAAACCAAACACCGCATGTTCTCACTCATAGGTGGGAACTGAACAATGAGATCACCTGGACTCGGGAAGGGGAACATCACACACCGGGGCCTATCATGGGGAGGGGGTAGGGGGGAGGGATTGCATTGGGAGTTATACCTGATGTAAATGACGAGTTGATGGGTGCTGACGAGTTGATGGGTGCAGCACACCAACATGGCACAAGTATACATATGTAACAAACCTGCACGTTATGCACATGTACCCTAGAACTTAAAGTATAATAATAATAAATAAATTTAAAAAAAAAAAAAGATGCATATACTCTTAAGATCTTTAAGGGAATTTGAGGCATCACCTTAAATCTTTCTGAGGTCTTAAGAAAGGGTCTTACACTGACAATCTTGGCTTCACCTTCAGACTGTGTTCTCCTGGCAGCACCCTGGATTTGATCTTATCCCAGAGGCCATTTATCTCAGCAATACAGGTGCCCCTCAAGTTAGGATGGGGTTATGTCTGGATGATGTTTGCATTTGTTATGACTGATATTTTCAATTTATAGGCCATCATAAATTGCAAATATCAGAAGTTGTGGGTGGGTTTTCCATTTATAATAATTTCCATTTACAGTGACTTTATCCTGATGTAACCACCCCTGTAAGCCAAGAGGCTTACACATACCATTTTGTTACTCAACACATATCATTTTCACACTATTATAAAAAGTCAGAAAATGGTGAGTCGAACCATGCTAAGTCAAGGACTGTCTATATTTGGGAATCTGACATGTGGAGAGGCTATAAAAAGGAAACAGATACTTGAACCCAGAAAGTCCTGGTTCCTTTATATGTAGTCGTCTTTCTTTAGCTTATCTCTTGCATTGGTTTTACTTTCAGCGGCTGTGTAGTAACAGTGCAATTTCCTTCAGGTTCCAGTATCATTTTCTTCACTATCCGTGAAACCCTTCCTACCATCTTCTTTGAGGACCATTGGGCTTCCACAAACAGTCTCTTTAAGACTCTTCTTGTTTTCATGCTTATTCTTCTGTAGGTCCTTTCATCTTCCACTTAACTCCTGGTCCAATGATAATCCAACATGTTTTAGTAGTTTTTGTTGTTTTGTTATGCATTCCATATGTAGTGTCAATATCTGTATTAGTTATTTTTTGGTATATAACAAAATGCAGTGTTTCAAAACAACATCTATTTTGTTCACAATCTGCAGTTTTAGGCAAGGCTCAGTGGGGCCAGCTCACTTTTTCTTTACTTGGCATCAGCTGAGGCAACTTAAAGCTGAGAACTAGAATCGTCTAAAGCCTTGTTCATTCACCTGTGCAGCATTTGAAGCTGGCTTTTGGCTGGGACGTTAGTTAGAGAAGTCAGCTCGAACACCTACCTACATGAGGATTCACGGTGTGGTTTGGGCTTTCTCACAGCATGTTGGCTGCATTTTAAGGACAAGTGTCCCTAGAGAGAAAGAGTCAAGTAGAAGCTGTATGACTTTTTGTAACCCCACCTTAGAAGTCACCCAGCAGTTCTGCCACATTATGTTCACAAGAAGCCGGTTGTCAATGCCAGCTTGTATTCAGGAGAGGGAATATCATGGGAGAAGTGGCAAGCAATTTGTAGATGTTTTAAAACCACTGCTTCATTTACCTTTATAAAATAAAAAACAATCATAATTATTTCCTCTAAAGGAAAGCAGTTCTGTCCAACTCAGCACCACTGAAATTTCAGTGCAATTTTTTGTTGTCATTGTTTAATGTGCTCCCTTATTTTGTGTAAAGTAGCAATGAATTACAAGACTATACTACTGAATTAAGCCATTTTTCTTCAGAAAAATGGTATGGATCATGCCATTGAACTTTTATACTAGGAGATGTGATTGCTTCTTAATTCCAAGTATCATTACTCTTTGAAATGTAACTCAAATTAGCATAAGACATTTGCAGTTCAGCAAAAGGCTTATGGTATTGGAATCCATTTTTTTTCAAGATTTATTCATTAGAGTCTTATTTTCAGAGTCTTATTATGGGAGCCATTTATTGACTCAGGCCCAAATAATTCAATATGATGCCCTTAAAACTTCATTACAAATTATGGAGAATGATAGTGGGTTACAGCAATAAGAGACTTTGTGCTAACGGGGTGACTTAGAGCCATTTTAAGGAGGACAGCCATGAAACAATTATAGGAAAGCAGAAGTCTAAGATCAAGTCCAAATGTTGTGTGGCAAAGATGATGAAAGTAAAGGACAAATTTTTGTGAATTCTGGTGATTTTAACTTTGTTTTTAATTTTCTGAGTAATCCAAGGGTCTGTATTTTATGAATCTATAACAGTATAGGTAACATTTTATTGCAACTGAATTTATTTAAAACATTATTAGTTTTATGTTAGACCATTCTCAGTCTACCTTCTTCATTACAAAACTATATTGTTTTACTCATGCAGGTTGACCTTATAGAAGCACAGGAAACTGCACCTTTACGATGTCTACATCTGGATGCAGAGAATGAAGTTCTTCAACTTCAACAGACATTATTCTCTATGAAAGCAATACGAAAGCAATGTGAAACACTACAGAAGAATAAGAAGCAGCTGAAACGAGAAGTAGTAAACCTCAAAAGTTATATGGAGAGAAATATGTTAGAATGTGTTGAAGCTGAACAGCATAAACTGTTGATTGAAGAAAAAGCAAAGAAAGATATAGCAGAAAAATTAAACGAAGCCATTCTCACCTTGCAGGTTGGTTTATTTATCTGTAATGTGCTTTCATTCATTTCACTGCAAATTTTATTTTGGATATATACATCATACGTGTTTTCTCTACTTTCCTGACAGCAATTTCTTTGGTAGACTTCTAGAAGGAAGGTGGTATTTGTTTCTCCATTTAAATATTTTCGTTTCCTTCATTCTTATTCTTATAACTAAATTGATCTTCCATAATAATAATTATCACTAGAGAATCATTTGATTACTAAAGCCAGTTGGCATAATACAAGACTAATAGAAAAAATAAAAAAAAAAATTGTGATTTAGAAATTATACCATACTGTTGAACTGCTTTTAAGTTACATTGTTCCACTTTTAAAATGTAAACTTGATTCTGTCATTCTTTGCAGAATTGTTCTACAATTCAGATTCAATTATTAATGCAGTTGGTACTGATAATATGTTAAGCTTGAACTTCTTTCTTTCTTCACATTGTTCTTAAAATTGTTCTCTGAATCACATACTTAAAATTGTTCTCAGAATCACTGACTCCGAACAAAAGGAAACAAATATACAGTAATTATTCAGGTTATAATTTCTTTTAAAATGTTCCCTTTTAATTTATTTTAGAAACAAGCAGCAGTATCTCAAGAACAGTTAGCACAGTTAAGGGAGGATAATACTACTTCAGTAAAAACTCAGATGGAACTCACAATCAAAAATCTGGAATCTGAAATCTCCAGAATAAACACTTCATCAGCCGACTTTAATAAAACCGAATTGGAAAGATATAAGGAACTCTACCTAGAAGAAGTAAAAGTTAGAGAATCCTTGTCAAATGAACTGAATAGGTAAGTCAGTACACAGAATCATAGAAAATAAGTTAAGCTCATTAATTTGCCTTCAAAAGCATAACTTTTAGTGAAACAGATTCAGGAGATTTGTGGGAAGTGAAAGCTTACTAGATTATACAATTTTGGAAAATTGTAAATTATAAATAGTAAATAAGCTTCACCTTTAAGTAAAATTGAAAATAGTAAATGAACATAACCTTTAACATCTTAGTCCAGGACAGTTCGTGTCTCTCCAGCTTTTGGTTTTACGTGACTTCCCCCCACCCCTTAATATTCTTACATAGTTAACCTGATCTATTAGGGTTTCAGCTAAGTATTTGTGAAGCTTCATAATTTAGACAGTGATGCCATTATAAAACTTGCTTGTCCATATTCCCTTTATTTGAAATATTAATGAATTTAATTTTTGGAAGATGACAGCTGAAAACCGAAAGGGTCAAGTACGACTACTCTGGGCACATTCTGGCACTCAGTAAATTCACTCTGCTTGATTGTGATCATTAGAGGGTGCCTTGAGAAGAAGTGTTCTGTGTTGTTTTCCACTCCACATAAAGGCACACCTGTGAAGTAGAGAATGATTAACATAGAGTTGAGGGGAAGTACAACTTACTAAGTGATCAAAAATAACACCTTGGTCAGCCTGAGCGGGTATGTGGAAGACAGAAAAGGCAGGCCCCACCTCTGGTGCATGGGCCACAGTGTTAGGAGCTGATTGTCCTCGATGCTGCCTTAGTTCTCTTTGATTTCAGCAGTCTTATTCTCCCCTAGGAAAAGTCGCCCTGAATGATTCCTCAGTGACAAATGCTCAATTTTTTTCCAGATAATGGGTGAAAAGTACAAGGGCGGTGAAAACAATTGTTTGAAAATGTCTTTGAGAGATAGTTTTTTAGAAAATCTCTGTTTTACTAAATACAAGTATTTCTAGCTTGTATTTTTACTTTTAGTTTTTTAATTGTATATATTTAAGGAGTACAATGTGATGTTTTGATATATTTATATGCAATGAAATGGTTATTTTGTCAAGCTAATTAATATCTTCATCATTTCACATAGTTACCCTTGGAATACAAGTAATTCTAATGGCATCTTAAGAATCTTGTAAGTAGAGTCATTCCAGACAGGCAACAAGTGTTAACTGTGAAGCGATACATCATTGATAGTCTTTTCTGTCCCCTCCCTCGTTTGAACTACTTGTTTGTTAGAAATCCCCCTAGAAACATATGTACTTCTTTAGAACAATGTTAAAACTATAATTGGATACAGTAGGCATGCTCTAACACATTTTCAGAGTTAAAACACGGCTTATGGTATATTCTATTTACTCTTATGGCAACTTTTAGAACAATTGAAGTCATTTAGGAATCATTTAGGAAAAAAGGAAATACTAAGCGTTTGTCTTTTGCAATCTTCATAGAACTAATGAGAAGATAGCAGAGGTCAGTGCACAACTTACTGTGGAGAAAGAGCTGACCAGATCTCCATTCGCTGCTTGTAGTACAAGGCCCATCCTAGAGCCACCTTGTGCTGGAAATCTTAATGATAGTGAAGATCTCAACAGAAAACATATTCCAAGAAAAAAGAAGTCTGCTCCTGAGAGCATGGAGAGCTACTTGTTGAAGGTTAGTTATCTTTTTTCCTTTGGTGTTCACATGTCTGATCTAATTCTTGTATGTTATTTGGTGAAATACTCAGTTACTTAATTGTCTGGTGTATGGTCAAGTAAAGGTAATAATTATCTGTGTTAATAAAGAGAGGAGACAGAAATTTTACAGTTATTTTTAAGTCCCTGGAGCTCTCATTCATAAGAGATTACTCCTTTGTTAACTTTATTCAATAAACGTAACCAAACTGACACATTTTAAATTTCTTTAAAAACTGCAATTAAGTTAGATTTTAACCAAAGGTATACTTTGATGTGCTTTGTCTTACTAACTGATTTTACTTTGTCTGGGGTTCACTTTTAAAGGATTTAGTGTGCGTGGGGTCACTTTTAAAGTTTTTCTGCATCATCTCAGATTTTCTACCCCTCATCATATGTAAATGATTGGTGTCCAAACACTAACCACACATGGATGTTTATTATTTAAAAGGATCCAAGGTGAATACTTTTATATGTTATATAAACCTGCAACACTTGATTAATCTGTTCTTTAAGTTAAAAGTTTTGTGATTTTCTTACATGAGTACATCTGGTTATAAAAATTTGTATAAAAATTGCTATTGCATTTACAGTGTTTTAATCCTAATTTTAGTAAAATGTGTCTATTGTTATGTGGTTGTACAGTGGTTTTGAAATAGTTAAATGAAACAAATATTTGAATTTTTAAAGTAAAGCTCACATAAGTTATGTCTCTCTACTTGGCCATAACTGGAGTGATTGGTGACTAAGATGGCAATGATATCTAGAGTCCTTCAATAGCAAATGTGACCAAACAGAATCAATTCTGTTCTTTTTTTTTTTTTTTTTTTTTTTTTTTTGAGACGGAGTCTGGCTCTGCCACCCAGGCTGGAGTGCAGTGGCCGGATCTCAGCTCACTGCAAGCTCCGCCTCCCGGGTTCCCGCCATTCTCCTGCCTCAGCCTCCCCAGTAGCTGGGACTACAGGCGCCCGCCACCTCGCCTGGCTAGTTTTTTGTATTTTTTAGTAGAGACGGGGTTTCACCATGTTAGCCAGGATGGTCTCGATCTCCCGACCTCGTGATCCGCCCGTCTCGGCCTCCCAAAGTGCTGGGATTACAGGCTTGAGCCACCGCGCCCGGCCTCAATTCTGTTCTTAATACCCCAAATTCCATGTAAAGCTGCACATGGACATCTCCCCTGGACATGTAACAGGAACCTTTTAGTTCAACTATGTGGTTTCACTCAGAGTAAGAGTCTATTTCTGGGGATTTCAAAATGAATCCAAGAATGACAAGCTATATCAACTATAGAGTCGGTAAGGAAAAAAAAAAAAAAAAAAAACGTAGTTCAGCTATGCTTGACCCAGATTAAGGTATTTGTCTAACATTTGTCCATTTTTCAACTGGGGGAAAATTACAAAAGCTGGGCACAGTGGCACACACCTGTAGTCCCAGCTACTCCTGAGGCTGAGGCAGAAAGATCACTTGAGCTCAGGAGTTCAAAGCTGCAGTGTGCAATGATTATTCCTGTGAGTAGCTACAGCACTGCAGCACTCCAGACTGGGCAACATAGCAAGATTCTATCTCTTTTTTTTTTTTTTTTTTGAGACGGAGTCTCACTGTGTCTCCCAGGCTGGAGTGCAGTGGCGTGATCTCGGCTCACTGCAAGCTCCGCCTCCTGGGTTCACGCCATTCTCCCGCCTCAGCCTCCCAAGTAGCTGAGACTACAGGCGCCCGCCACCACGCCTGGCTAGTTTTTTGTATTTTTAGTAGAGACGGGGTTTCACCATGTTAGCCAGGATAGTCTCGATCTCCTGACCTCGTGATCCACCCGCCTCGGCCTCCCAAAGTGCTGGGATTACAGGCTTGAGCCACCGCGCCCGGCCCCTATCTCTTAAAAAATTACAAAATCCAGAAAGCATTTGTTTGAACAAAAATAAATAGTTTTCTTTGTGTATATTGTTGTTTTTAAAATTTTTAATCGGTCCACATTTGCTTATAGTTTTGATGTTTTTATGGTCTCCTTAATGCACAGAAAAGCACAGGCCCACATGGAATGAGCCTCAACCTTGTTGTGTTTACCTGGCTATTTCATGTCCTAACAAATCATAGAAGAACAAATCTAAGGTTTCTTAGACAGCATTGCGGCCAAATAGCTTAAAAGAGAATGCATTAAATGATTATTTTAATACATAGATTACAAGAGCCCAGCTAGCTGATATTTTTAATCATATTGTTTGCTTAGGTTTTAGGTTTCTGAAAAAAATGAGATGATCAGCATATGTGGTAAGATTAGAAAGAATATGTGGTAAGATTAGAAAGTCAAGGAAGAAGAAACTATTTCTGTAAGTGTTATACAGTCATCTTGTTCAGGCTGTGGTGGATAGGCAGCAAATGGTGCTCCTCGTTCCCTTCTGAGTTCAGAACACTGGAGTCAGATGGACATCAACACACTAGCTCTATCACAGACTCATGATAACTAATGGGAGGATGTGGCTCAGATGTGCAGTCACAGTATTTTATCCCAGATCAGGCACTAACCCACAGAGTTTTAAGTGGAGAAAACAAATGCTTGACACCCATCGCAGTTGCATGCTGCTTACTGCAGAGATGACAGCAAACCTGAACTCATGTCACCATGGGCAGACACATCTTTTGAAAGAGATCCTGAGCCAAGCAAGCACACTGTATGCTTTGCCCAAATTCACCCATTAGGTAGATCTGACATCTTCTCAAGAGGAAGCTGTAGGTAGAGAGTCTAAGCCCTCACTTGAAACCTGAGGCCAGGGAAATGAAGCTTCTCCTATCATTTCTGGCTGGATTTAAGTGATAATTGAAATTAAGTCCACATTTTTGTACCAATTAATGTTGGACAGACGTATGCTAGATGGTAAAGAGAAATCTGTTTTGTGTTTTCAGTTTTTCTATAACTCACAACATGGATGATCGCCTTGTTGATTGATTTTCATAAACCAAGTCTTATTTGGAGGAGAATGAATAGTTATTTTAAGGAACAGTTTTCTCGATTTCTGGTTGCTTGGTTCAACTGAAGATTTTCTCCTTCAAGTTTTCTGCTCTGCAGTTTGAAAAATGTGTTCTTTATAAATTGAGTGTCTCAATTGGTACTAGCAGAAGTTATGATACTAATTGTTGTTTAAATTTTATTCAAACTTACCTTGGAGAGCTACTTTTTTTGTCTCATGCTTAAACATTAGAGCACATCGTGACAGTTTATAGATGCATTTTCTCTGAGTTTTTGTTGTTGTTGTTGTTGTTGTTGTTTTTTAAGACAGAGTCTCACTCTGTCACCCAGGCTGGAGTGCAGTGACGCAATCTCTGCTCACTGCAACTTCTGCCTCCTGGGTTCCAGCGCTTCTCCTGCCTCAGCCTCCTGAGTAGCTGGGACTACAGGTGTGCACCACCACACCTGACTAATTTTTGTAATTTTAGTAGAGACAGGGTTTCACCATATTGGCCAGGCTGGTCTCGAACTCCTAACCTTGTGATCCACCCACTTCGGCCTTCCAAAGTGCTGGGATTACAGGCGTGAGCCACCACACCTGGCCTCTCTGAGTTATTTTTTAAAATCTGTGTTTCTTTTCCAAATATGAACGAAGCAGCTAGGGGCATAGAATAACTCCAAGCTCAGTGAAAGATCTGAAGCCACCCACTCCTAGCTTGCAACTAATTGGCTTTCTGACCTCAGGCAAGCTGCAGTCTCTCTGAGCCTGTTTTGTTTCTTATATAAAATTAGGGACTTTGACTAAATCAATGACATTCATACCTTTAAGTAAAACTCTTTTTTTTTTTTTTTTTTTTTTTTTGAGACAGAGTCTCGCTCTGTCGCCCAGGCTGGAGTGCAGTGGCGCAATCTCGGCTCACTGCAAGCTCCGCCTCCCGGGTTCACGCCATTCTCCTGCCTCAGCCTCCTGAGTAGCTGGGACTACAGGCGCCCGCCACCGCGCCCGGCTAATTTTTTTTTGTATTTTTAGTAGAAACGGGGTTTCACCGTGGTCTCGATCTCCTGACCTTGTGATCCGCCCACCTCGGCCTCCCAAAGTGCTGGGATTACAGGCGTGAGCCACCGCGCCCGGCCTTTTTTTTTTTTTTTAAAGAATAGAACTTTTTTAAATTGCATGAAACCACTTTATAGAAAGCAGAAGTAGTGCTGTCTGACTAAAGGAAGGATCAGTGCTCTGAAACCGTGACTTTCTTATCCCTTAATCCTTCAGCGTCCTCTGTGGAACCTTAGATTTCTATGGGACATAGCTTGAAAAGGGTCATTTCTAAGAGAATCCTACTAATTAGCTAAAGTATGCTGGTACTTATGTTCTCCCATGTATAATTTTCCCACCTACTTATATTTTTAATGAAAAAGTATAAATATATTTGCAGATGTGCTTGCAGATTGTTGATGTTGGACTTCCTCCACCATCTGAGACATAATCCCCACCTGGAGATAAAGAGAAAGGCCACAGAGACAGGAGGAGCAATTTTATTAAAAAGTTTATGTATTTTACTCCATAAGGAGCTAGTATAGCTTTTGATTTAGTATGTTGTATAAAGTGAAGATTAACAGTTTACTAAGCTCTTTTATATCCTCTGGTGATGTTCAGTTTCTCCTGAGCTATTGCTCTGCACACTACAAAAACCATCGATGGCCCGGCCCCCTTGTCTCACTGAATAAGACAGTGATTAATGTCATCAAGACACTTTTCTCTCCTTTTCCCTTCTGTTAGCTGTGCCAGGCACTGTATTAAGTGGTTCAACGGGGGACAACAATTCTGAATTTCTGTGAAGGGAAATATGAGGAAAATGTGTGATTTAATGGCAAAGCAAAAATAAAATGAAAGGACTTTTTAAAAGTCGCTTAATATTTGCCTGTTTTTACTTCTGAAAATAGGTAAAGCCACCCCGGCCTTTAACTGGCCAGGAAAAAATTGGAACCATCAACACTCAAAACCCCTTTCCTAAGCTTTTGGGTTCCCATCCCAGAGGCACTCCCTCCCTGTGTTCTGGGTCTGTCCTTTTTCCCTCTGCTTTTGCATCTGACCTGGGATCTCTTTCCCAAAGGCAGCTGCCCTCCACTGTCATTTATGTGGTGAAATATTCAAGGATCAGGGAAAGGCTGGAAGAGAATTGATGTAGGGGGAGGCCACTCTGGGTTGGAAGATAGGCAGTGACTTCTACCATGTACTCTTATTGAAGAGTTTGGAGAGAAAATGACCTTTACTTAAAGTTGTTATACAAAAAGTATTCTCTCTCTACAGAGTTATGATTTCTTCAGTATTGCCGAGACCAGCTCGGTCGGGGAGACCCTAACCCAGTGGCGCTAGAGGAATTAAAGACACACACACAGAAATATAGAGGGGTGAAGTGGGAAATCAGGGGTCTCACAGCATTCAGAGCTGAGAGCCGTGAGCAGAGATTTACCCATGTATTTATTAACAGCAAACCAGTCATTAGCATTGTTTCTATAGATATTAAATTAACTAAAAGTATCCCTTATGGGAAATGAAGGGATGAGCCGAATTAAAGGAATAAGTTGGGCTAGTTAACTGCAGCAGGAGTGTGTCCTTAAGGCACAGATTGCTCATGCTACTGTTTGTAGCTTAAGAATGCCTTTAAGCGGTTTTCCGCCCTGGGCGGGCCAGGTGTTCCTTGTCCTCACTCCAGTAAACCCACAACCTTCCAGCGAGGGCGTTATGGCCATCATGAACCTGTCACAGTGCTGCAGAGATTTTGTTTATGGCCAGTTTTGGGGCCAGTTTATGGCCAGATTTTGGGGGACTTGTTCCCAACAAGTATAAAAGTAAGCAATTTGTTAAGATTATTTCATTTTTATGTTAACAAAATTGAGGTGTTATGAAAATATTTGTGAATGGGGTATAAAGAAATAACAAAATCTATTACATTAGAAATATTTAGCCAGAAGAGTGTTTCGGAGAAAAGATAAAAACATTACAGTAGTAGTGTCTTAATTTGAATCATGTAAAAATGTACTTTTTATGTAGTGTTTATGAATGACAATATCTAGTGTTCTTTGAAGAAAGGCTTTCTTCTTTATCTGGTGTTGAATTACTACTTTTATATGGTCTGGCTGGTAATGCTGTTGTCATGTTACTTACTCTATAAAGCCTATCTATAATGTTTTTGTCACAGAAATGTTATGGAAAGGAGTCTCAAAATATTGGTAAACCTGTTAGTAAAAACAAAGAAAAACTGACTTGACACCTAAAATTTGTAAAGGCATTAGATATCATTATCGTTATCACCATAAACTATCTCAGACCCTGTTCTGGACATTTAGTGAGAGAATACCTATTCTACAAAAGGTTTAAATAAGAGCACTCTAGATAGAGACACTGGCAATAAGTTTGAAATATTCCCACATCTTTCATAATTAAGTAGATAACTATAACTTGCCAGATGCTTAAAAAAATGGGTACTAATTTCTGAAAAGAAATCAAAGTTGCAGTTAAATAACTATATTGTTTTCCTAGTTTTTAATTCTAGACATTACTGAATCAAAGAAACTAAGATTGAAAACTGGCTCTAACCTATATTCTTGTTTTCATGTAAATTTTTTGAAATCCTTGCATCTATATAAATAAAGAAATGTTAATCATAATAAATATCATAATATTTTTCCAGTGGAACTTTCACATGGCATCACAACAATACTGCTTTCTTCAAGTATGTATTAAAGATTCTGTGCTGAATTAATAGCAAAGAACATACTTTAAAATTACTATTTTCTAAAAGTGGATAATGGAGAGTTCATTTTAAGGAACTATTCATTAGAGTGAAAAACTGATTAGACCTTGATAAAAGGCAGAGTTTTGATAAGAATGGGAAAGTAATGAATTCATTGCAAAATATGACTTGAATTGTTTAACCTCTGTACTAATAAGGGAAAACATCACACTTTTGAAATGATGTAGATCCAACAGACCAATATTAATTGTACTTTTGTGAGATTAAACGGCATAACACATATATGTTCTCCATTATCTAAACTTAAAATAGGAATTTATGTGATTTTCTTAAATATAAGCATTCTTCAAGTTAGGTCTGGTCTCTAAAAGTATTATTTAAAGGCCATGTTTTGTAATTGATGCTCCTTACCATGATAATGTCTCTTCTTAAACATTATAAATAATATTTGTCTTATTTCAGATGCAGCAGAAGTTTCAAAATGATATAACTAGAGAAGTAACAGGTATGTTACCAAAATTTATGAATTAAATTTGGATTAAGTAATATATGTCTAAAATAAACTGCAAATGATATCCCTTTCCATTCTTGGGCTAATAGATACTACATTAAATATTCTTTCTTATACACATTTGATGAAAGATGTGAAAAATTGAACATGTATAATGAAGAGCGTACTTATGCCTCATGAATTCATCACATTCCATAACTTGAAAAAGAAAAATCAAGAAGTCTGGCTCTATACTTCACTTCTACCATCCCTATGGAACTCTCAGCCAGCACACAGAAACTATTCTCAGAAAACAAAGGCATCATCAGCTTCTCAGGGTTATGGTAGTGATTTTTAAGGCCAAAACACTCCAGTCTCATCTAGTAACCTAGTCAAGCAGTTACAGTTTATAAACAGTCACTTGAGAGGTAATACTTTAAGTCTCCAGTCATTTACAGTGTCATTGGTTTACTTTTGCCCTCAGGAAATGTTCCAAAATTCTTAACATGGAATATAAACACCCACATTCATTTGGTTCTTGTCATGTTACTCAGGTTTATCTCTCACCACTAACTGTACTCTGCCGCTTTGCTCTAGCATCCAGCCAAACTGGACTGCACAGAACTCCACAGTGGGGGGATCGGTGGTGATGTCCCCTTTTTCATTTTTTATTGCATCTGTTTGATTCTTCTGTCTTTTCTTCTTTATTAGTCTTGCTAACGGTCTATCAATTTTGTTGATCTTTTCAAAAAACCAACTCCTGGGTTCATTGATTTTTTTGAAGGGTTTGTGTGTGTGTGTGTCTCTATCTCCTTCAGTCCTGCTCTGATCTTAGTTGTTTCTTTCCTTCTGCTAGTTTTGAATGTGTTTGCTTTTGCTTCTCTAGTTCTTTTAATCGTGATGTTAGGGTGTCGATTTTAGATCTTTCCTGCTTTCTCTTGTGGGCATTTAGTGCTATAAGTTTCCCTCTACACACTGCTTTAAATGTGTCCCAGAGATTCTGGTATATTGTGTCTTGGTTCTCATTGGTTTCAAAGAACATCTTTATTTCTGCCTTCATTTTGCTATTTACCCAGTAGTCATTCAGGAGCCGGTTATTCAGTTTCCATGTAGTTGTGCGGTTTTGAGTGAGTTTCTTAATCCTGAGTTCTAATTTGATTGCACCGTGGTCTTCGAGACAGTTTGTTGTGATTTCTGTTCTTTGACATTTGCAGAGGAGTGCTTTACTTCCAACTATGTGGTCAATTTTGGAATAAGTGTGATGTGGTGCTGAAAAGAATGTATATTCTGTTGATTTGGAGTGGAGAGTTCTGTAGATGTCTATTAGGTCTGCTTGGTGAGACCAGAGTTCAATTCCTGGATATTCTTGTTAACTTTCTGTCTTGTTGATCTGTCTAATGTTGACAGTGGGGTGTTAAAGTCTCCCATTATTATTGTGTGGGAGTCTAAGTTTCTTTGTTGGTCTCTAAGAACTTCCTTTATGTATCTGGGTGCTCCTGTGTTGGGTGCATATATATTTAGGATAGTTAGCTCTTCTTGTTGAATTGATCCCTTTACTGTTATGTAATGGCCTTCTTTGTCTCTTTTAATCTTTGTTAGTTTAAAGTCTGTTTTATCATAGACTAGGATTGCAACCCCTGCCTTTTTGTTTTCCATTTGCTTGGTAGATCTTCCTCCATCCCGTTATTTGAGCCTGTGTGTGTCTCTGCACGTGAGATGGGTCTCCTGAATACAGTACACTGATGCGTCTTGACTCTTTATCCAATTTTCCAGTCTGTGTCTTCTAATTGGAGCATTTAGTCCATTTACATTTAAGGTTAATATTGTTATGTATGAATTTCATCCTATCATTGTGATGTTAGCTGGTTATTTTACTCGTCAGTTGATGCGGTTTCTTCCTAGCATTGATGGTCTTTACAATTTGGCATGTTATTACCTATCATCTGAAGCCTTCTTCTCTCAGCTCGTCAAAGTAATTCTCCGTCCAGATTTGTTCCATTGCGGGTGAGAAGCTGCGTTCCTTTGGAGGAGAAGAGGCATTCTGATTTTTAGAATTTTCAGCTTTTCTGCTCTGGTTTCTCCCCATCTTTGTGGTTTTATCTACCTTTAGTCTTTGATGATGGTGACGTACAGATGGGGTTTAGGTGTGGATGTCCTTTCTGTTTATTAGTTTTCCTTCTAACAGCCTGGACCCTCAGCTGCAGATCTGTTGGAGCTTGCTGGAGGTCCACTCCAGACCCTGTTTGCCTGGGTATCACCAGCAGAGGCTGCAGAAGAGCAAATATTGCAGAACAGCTAATGTTGCTACCTGATCCTTCCTCTGGAAGCTTCATATCAGAGGGGCAGCCACCTGTATGAGGTGTCAGTCAGTCCCTGCTGGGAGGTGTCTCCCAGTTAGTCCACTCCAGGGTCAGGGACCCACCTGAGGAGGCAGTCTATCTGTTCTCAGATCTCAAACTCCATGCTGAGAGAACCACTACTCTATTCAAAGCTGTCAGACAGGGATGTGTAAGTCTGCAGAAGTTTCTCCAGCCTTTTGTTCAGCTATGCCCTGCCCCCTGAGGAGGAGTCTACAGAGGCAGGCAGGCCTCCCTGAGCTGAAGTGGGCTCCACCCAGTTTGAGCTTCCTGCCACTTTACTGACTCCAGCCTCATTAATGGTGGATGCCCCTCCCCCAGTCTCACTGCTGCCTTGCAGATGGATCTCAGACTGCTGTGCTAGCAGTGAGCTGGGCTTTGTGGGCATGGGACCCTCCTAGCCAGGCGCAGGATATAATCTGCTGGTGTGCCATTTGCTAAGACCGTTGGAAAAGCACAGTATTAGGGTGGAAGTGTCCCATTTTTCCAGGTACCGCCTGTCACAGCTTCCCTTGGCTAGGAAAGGGAATTCCCCAACCCCTTGTACTTCCTGGGTAAGGCAATGCCCTGCCCTGCTTTGGCTCACACTCCACGGGCTGCACACTGTCTGACAAGCCCCGGTGAGCCCCAGTGAGATGAACCCAGTACCTCAGTTGGAAATACAGAAGTCACCCGTGTTCTTCATTGCTCACATTGGGAGCTGTAGACTGGAGCTGTTCCTATTTGGCCATCTTGGAACCTCCCCAGATTCTTATCTAATAATAACTTATCATTGTAGTCATACATACTTTTCATTCTTATTAACACTGAAAAAACTCTCAACTCTTTTTTACTGACTTACGCTTAGTTAACTATGAGATATATAGAATATAATTCTTTGGCCAGGCATGTTGGCTCACATCTGTAATCCCAGCACTTTGGGAGCCTGAGGCAGGCAGATCACTGGAGCCCAGGAGTTTGAGAGTAGCCTGGGCACCATGACTAACCCTGCCCCTATAAAAAATACAAAAACTTGCCAGGCACAGTGGCTCATGCCTGCAGTTCCAAGTACCTGGGTCCGAGGCAGGAGAATTGCTTAAGCCTGGGAGGACGAGACTGCAGTGACCTGTGATCACACCACGGCACTCCAGCACAGGTGAAACAGTGAGACCCTATCTTAAAATAATAATAATAATAATGATAATATAATTCTTGCTTTTTCTTTTCAGCTGCTACTAAATGTGAACCTGAACCATATGTAGCTTCTCCTCCAGAATCTGCATACCAGAAAAATCTGAATCAAGATCCAGTGTTGGAAGCAACAAAAGAATATGCACAGATTTTAAGCAGAAAATACATGATCTGAAAGATAAGGCAATTTTCTTTCTGGGCTGTTGACATGATATTTTGTTTCCCATTAAGTATATGATGTGAACATTTTTACTAAAGGGAAATATTCTGTATTATACATGTCTGATGAAAATTTGTATAGTATTTTAAATAATGTTTCTTGGCCTCTTCAGCTAACTTTTAAGTGATTTTGCGAATGAAAACCACTATTATTGAGTTTTACTTACTCAAACCACCCAAATGTTAGCTGTTTAAACAGCCAAATAATCAAGTTGCCATTAACAATTTAGTGGAGTCAACTGATGGCTTATTTATATTTTATAATTTTTATCTTTATATATAGTGATAGATTTAAGTTTAGATAGACATTATTTTGGTATACTGGTACTGTGGTCATTGTCAATGTTTGGATGTATTGCAATTGTTATAGTGCAATAAAACTTAGATAATTTTAATTTTAAGCACTGATTTATATAGATCTTTTCCTGTGGAAAAATAAGGTTTGCCTAAGCCTTTTCATTTTTTCTATTGATTGTTTCATTTCTTTATTTGTTTAACTTTTGGGAAACAGTCTTAAAATTGCAGAAAATTTCCACATTTTAAGAAAAATAACTTTCCCCCTGTGGGCCATTTGAGAGTAAATTGCTCACATTATGCCATCACATCTGATATCTTTAGTGGGCATTCCCACGAGTCAGGACATTTTACATAACTACTTCATAACCAGAAAGTTAACATCAATACATTTGATCATTTAATTCTCATTTCCTTTTCAAGTTTTGTTAATTATCTATAATGTTCTTTGCAGCAAAAAGATCTCATTCAGGTCCATGAATTGCATTTAGTTGTCATGACTCTTTCAGTCTGAAACAGTTCCTCAGTTTTTCTTTGACCTTTATGACCTTAAATCTTTTGAAGAGTAAAGTCCAATAATACAGAATGTTCCTCCATTGGATTTCTCTGAATTTTTTTATAAGATTTAGATGATAATTTTTTTGGGCAAGAGTATCACAGAAGTTATCCCATGATCTTCTTACTGCATTCTATCAGGTGACCTGCAATTACTATTATTTTTTATTTCCATCTTTTATTTTAAGTTCAGGGGTGCACATGCAGGATGTGCAGGTTTGTTACATAGGTAAATATGTGCCATGGTGGTTTGCTGTACAGACCATCCCATCACCTAGATATTAATAATAGTCCAGCATCCATTAGCTATTCTTCATGATGCTCTCCCTTCTCTCACCCGCCACCCTACCACAAGCCCCTGTGTGTGTTGTTCCCCGCCATGTGTCCATGTGTTCTCATTATTCAGCTCCCACTTATAAGTGAGAGCATGCAGTATTTCATTTTCTATTTCTGCGCTGATTTGCTGAGGATAATGTTCTACAGCTCCATCCATGTCCTGGCAAAGGACATGTCTCATTCCTTTTCATGGCTGCATAGTATTCCATGGTGTATATGTACTACATTTTCTTTATCTAGTCTATCATTGATGGGCATTTAGGTTGATTCCTTGTCTTTGCTATTGTGAATAGTGCTGCAATGAACATACGTGTGCATGTATCTTTATCCTAGAATTATTTATATTCCTTTGGGTATATACTAAGTAATGGGATTGCTAGGTTAAATAGTATTTCAGGTTCTAGGTCTTTGAGGAATCACCATACCGTCTTCCACACTGGTTGAACTAATTTACACTCCCACCAACAGTGTAAAAGCATTCTTGTTTCTCCATAATCTTGCCAGCATCTTTTTATTTTTTTGAATTATAGTCATTCTGACTGTTGTGAGATGGTGTCTCATGTGGTTTTGATTTGCATTTCTCTGATGATCAGTTATGTTGAGGTTTTTCTGTTTGTTGGTTGCATGTATGCCTTCTTTTGAGAAGTGTCTGTTTGTGTCCTTTGACCACTTTCTAATGGGGTTGAGTTTGTATTTTTTTTCTTGTAAATTTGTTTAAGTTCCTTGTAGATGCTGGATATTAGACCTTTGTCAGATGGATAGAGTGCAAAAATTTTCTCCCATTCTGTAGGTTGTCTGTTTGCTCTGTTGATAGGTTCTTATGCTGTGCAGAAGCTGTTTAGTTTAATTAAATCTCATTTGTCAATTTTAGCTTTTGTTGCAATTGCTTTTGGCATCTTCATCATGAAGTCTTTGCCCTTGCCTGTGTCCTGAATGGCATTGCCTAGGTTTTCTTCCAGGATTTTTATAGTTTTGGGTTGTGGATTTAAGTCTTTAATCCATCTTGAGTTAACTTTTGTATATGGTTTAAGGAAGGGGTCCAGTTTCAATTTTCTGCATATGGCTAGCCAGTTCTCCCAGCACCATTTATTGCTTGCTTTTGTCAAGTTTGTCAAAGAGTCAAAGATCACATGGTTGTAGGAGTGTCGTCTTATTTCTGGGTTCTGTATTGTTCCATTGGTCTATGTGTTGGTTTTTGTACCAGCACCATGCTGTTTTGGTTACTGTAGTCTTGCAGTATAGCTTGAAGCTGGGTAGTGTGATGCCTCTAGCTTTGTTCTTCTTGCTTAGGATTGTCTTGGCTATTTGGTCTCTTTTTTTTGGTTCCATATGAGTTTTAAAATAGCTTTTTCTAGGTCTGTGAAGAGTGTCAATAGTAGTTTAATGGGCCTAGCATTTAATTTACAAATTGCCTTGGGCAGTGTGGTCATTTTCACGATATTGATCCTTTCTGTCTGTGAGCATATACATTTTTCCACTTCTTTGTGTCATCTCTGATTTCTTTGAATAATGGTTTGTAGTTATCCTTGAAAAGGTCGTTCACTTTTCTTTTAGCTGTATTCCTAGGTATTTTACTCTTCTTGTAGCAATTGTGAATGGGAGTTAATTCAAGATTTTGTTCTCAGCTTGCCTGTTTTTGGTGTATAGGAATGCTAGTGACTTTTGTACGTTGCTTTTGTATCCTGAGACTTTGATGAAGTTGCTTATCAGCTTAGGAGTTTTTGAGCTGAGATGATGGAGTTTTCTAGATATATGATCACGTCATCTGCAAACAAAGATAGTTTGACTTCCTGTCTTCCTATTTGAATAACTTTTCTTTCTTTCTCTTGCCTGATTGTCCTGGTGAGAATTTCTAATACTACATTGAATAGGAGTGGTGAGAGAGGGCATCTTTGTCTTCTGTCAGTTTTCCAAGGGAATGCTTTCAGGTTTTCAGGTATTCAGGCAACAAATAACATGATGAATAGAATAGTACCTCACATCTCAATGCTTATGTTGAACATAAATGGCCTAAATGCTCTACTTAAAAGATACAGAATGGCATAATGGGTAAGCATTCACCAACCAAGTTGCTGCTGTCTTCAGAAGACTCGCCTAACACATAAGAACTCACATAAACTTAAGGCAAAGGGATGGAAAATGACACTTCATCCAAATGGACACCAAAACTGAGTAAAAGTAGCTATTCTTAGATCAGACAAAACAGACTTAAAGGCCACAGCAGTTTAAAAAGACAAAGAGGGACATTATATAATGATAAAAGGACTAGTTCAACAGGAAAATATCACAGTCCTAAATATATATGCACCTAACACTAGAGATCCCAAATTTATAAAACAATTACTACTAGACCTAAGAAATGAGGTAGTCAGCAACACAACAATGGTGGGGGATGTTAATACTCCTCTGGCAGCACTAGACAGGTCACCAAGACAGAAAGTCAACAAAGAAACAACGGACTTAAACTATACCCTAGAACAAATGGACTTAACAGATATTTACAGAACATTCTACCCAACAAGCATAGAATATACATTGTATTCATCAGAACATGGAACATTCTCCAAAATAGACCACATGATAGGGCACAAAATAAGTCTCAGTAAATTTAAGAAAATCAAAATTATGTCAAGACTCTCTCAGATCACAGTGGAATAAAATTGGAAATTAACTCCAAAAAGAACACTCAAAAGCATGCATATACATGGTAATTAAATAACCTGCTCCTGAATGATTGTTGGGTCAACAATGAAATCAAGAGGGAAATTCAAAAATTCTTTGAACTGAATGATAATAGTGACACAACCTATCAAAAACTCTGGGATACAGCAAAAGTGGAGCTAAGAGGAAAATTCATAGCATTAAATGCCTATATCAGAAAGTCTGGAAGAGCACAAATAAACAATCTGAGGTCACACCTCACAGAACTGGAGAAACTAGAACAATCCAAATCCAAACCCAGCAGAAGAAAAGAAATAACAAATACCAGAACAGAACTAAATGAAATTGCAACAAAAAAACAACAGATAAATGAAACAAAGAGCTGTTTCTTTGAAAAGATAAATAAAATGGATAAGTATTAGCAAGATTAACCAAGAAAAGAAGAGAGAAAGGTCCAAATAAGCTTGATTAAAAATGAAATGGGAGGCCGGGTGTGGTGGCTCACACCTGTAATCCCAGCACTTTGGGAGGCCAAGGCGGGCGGATCACGAGGTCAAGAGATCGAGACCATCCTGGCTAACACGGTGAAACCCCATCTCTACTAAAAAATACAAAAAACTAGCCGGGTGAGGTGGCAGGCACCTGTAGTCCCAGCTACTCAGGAGGCTGAGGCAGGAGAATGGCATGAACCCAGGAGGCGGAGCTTGCAGTGAGCCAAGATCCGGCCACTGCACTCCAGCCTGGGCGATAGAGCGAGACTCCATCTCAAAAAAAAAAAAAAAAAGTTGCTCACTCAATAATTTTTAAATATACAGTAAAAAACTGATCTATGATATATTATTTGTCAGACTGACAAATGCTGACAACACTAAGTGTTGGTGAGGATGTGGGAAATACTGATTACCTACTGAGCACACACTATTTGTAAAGAATTATGCTGGATGCTAGAGATGTGAGTATGAATAATACAGAAATGAGAACCCAGAATTAAAGCCAAATACTTACAGCCAACTGATCTTCAACAAAGCAAACAAGAATGTAAAGTGAAGAAAGGACACCCTATTCAACAAATGGTACTGGGATAATTGGCTAGCCACATGTAGGAGAATGAAACTGGATCGTCATCTCTCACCTAATACAAAAATCAACTCAAGATGGATCAAGGACTTAAATCTAAGACCTGAAGCCTTAAAAATTCTAGAAGATAACGTTGGAAAACCCTTCTAGACATTGGCTTAGGCAAAGACTTCATGACCAAGAACCTCAAAGCAAATGCAACAAAAACAAAAGATAAATAGATGGGACTTAACTAAAAAGCTTTTGCACAGCAAAAGAAATAATTAGCAGAGTTAACAGACAACCCACAGAGTGGGAGAAAATCTTCACAACCTACACATCCAACAAAGAACTAATATTCAGAATCTACAAAGAACTCAAATCAGTAAGAAAAAAAAATTCCATAAAAAAGTGGGCTAAGGACACGAATAGATAATTCTCAAAAGAAAATATACAAATGGCCAACAAGCATATGGAAGAATGCTCAACATCACTATTG